CAATTCAAGGGCTTGAGCCCAGCTGCAGGGGGTTAGGGGAATAGCTTGCCTGCCTAGGAGCATTGGGCCAGCTGACATTGATGACTGGCTGTCCTTAGAAGAAGGTAAAAGCTACCAGGGAGAGAGAGGGGGAGAGGCTGGTATGCTAAGGGAAAAGCACAGGGCCTGGGTTACCTCTCTCTAAGTCTCAAGAAAGACTAGAGCAGGGGTTGGCAACCCCTGGCACGCGTGCCAAGCGTGCGATGCAAGGCCATTTTGTGTGACATGCCGCAGCCAGCCCCGGCTCCGAGTAGTTGCTGCCAGCGACAGAGCCCGGGCTGCTCCCAGCAGGGCTTGCAGCCTCCCAGCTGCCTGCAGGGAGCAGCCCGGGATCCCGGCTGGCAGCAGCTCCCCAGGGCTGGAGCTGGCTGCAGCATCAGCTCTGCACCGGCACGTACAGGTGCACCTCGGAGCAGGCGGTGGGGGAGGGATGTGAGGCAGCGTAGCCCCCCCGTCTCTCCCCCGCTCCCAGCAAGGAGGTGATAAGCCGGCACAGCTGTTTGCACTCTGCCCGCTGCTTGCTGCAGCTGCCCAGAGCCCAGGCTGGCTACAAACAGCTGTGCCGGGCTCATCCACTCTGAGCCAGGAGCTGAGGAGAGACCAGGGCTGTGCTGCCTCAGGCCCCTCCCCCACCGCCCACTCCAAAGCATGCCTGCACACACTGGTGCAGAGATGATGCTGGAGCCCGGCACAGCTGTTTGGAGCCTCCCGGCTGCAGCCAGCCCCGGCTCTGGGGAGCTACTGCCAGGTGGAATCCTGGGCTGCTCCCAGCAAGCAGCTGGGACACTGCAAGCCCTGCTGGGAGCAGCCTGGGCTCCAGCAGCTACCCAGAGCCGGGGTAGCTGCTGGCAGCCACACAGCCCGACCAAAAAACATTGCCTACCCCTGGACTAGAGGTTTTACTTTTTGTTTTTTGCACGTTAATTTATGTTGTTGCTTGCTTTGTTTGCTTCCACATGTAAAATAAGAGGAACCAAGCCTAACTGGCTTTCATAAGGAAGCTGCTTTCTGAGTCGGGCTAACAGGGCTAACCCACTATAATGTTGTAATGGCCAACAGTGTAATCAGGTTCAAAAGAGTATAAGGTAAATTCATATATTCATCATTGGGTATTAAACATGATAGTATATCTTCATCCTGTGAACTAGGACTGCTTAGGCCTCTAAGTGCTGGAAGCTTTAAGAGGAAAAGGGGAAGAGTGCAAATCAGTTTGGCTAGGCTCTGCATAAATACTCTTCCCTTTAACATTTGCTTTGTGCCACTGTGAGATTCAGAACATTGGGCTAGGGTATCACATCTCTTGTATTGGTGAATTGGGTGAAGAGCTGTGATTTTTTTTTTTTTTTTTGACTGACATAACTATGCTGGCAGAAGCCTTGCAACTTTCATCAAAATTAGCTTATTTTACTTGGGGGCAAGTTTGGAATAGGCTATGCTGGCTGTGTTTTGCCAGTGCAGTATACTAGCATGGGTATAGCTATACCAGCAGAATGCACCTAGTGCAGACGGGACTGAAATTTTAACCCCTTCTCTAAGGGTTCACACATGACAGTAAGTTAGGAGGGGGTGGGGCCTTACCGCACACCAATTGCTCTGTGACAGTTGTCTGTGTGCATGCTCTTACCTTGTGGTAAATGGGTAGTAAGTCCTAGAAGCTTACCCGTCTTTCTTTGAGGGTTACTCTGAGGCGATCCCTTCATGGTAGGCTGAGGTATACTGGCTGGAGATGAGAAAATAAGCTTTTCCTCACTCTATGAAAAAGCACAGTACTGCAGGACTATTAAACTGGGACCTTTGGGAAGCACTAAAAATAAATACAAGGGGGAAAACAGCGAGATGATTTAAAGATGGTCACTCTCAGCAAAGATGCAATGACCTGAATTGGAAAATACCATTGAAAAGAATATTCTGTATTTGATGGAATTATTTAGTCATTCTATAGAAATCTGTAATGGCAATATATGATTCTCTATTACATCTTAGAGTTGTAGCTTAACTGTGATGAAACCCTTTTAAATTACTTAGAGCCCTATTGACTTAACTTTTATTACACACTGAAGAATTTTACCAGAAAGGAAGCGAGAAATGGGGAAATAAATCTCTCTCATATGCCTTTATATGTAATTAAATTAAACAATTTAATGTTTAATATTGATTTGGTTAAAACACCTATTCCTTATGCAGCTTATATGAGAGAAGATGGCAACAGTAAAGATTCCATTCAAGCTCTGAGAGACGCTCTGGTTCTAGCTCATTTTAATTAGTATGTACATTGCAAAGTGAAGTCCTGGTGTATATTGTTTCTGCCCTTTACATTGTATTTGAATAGTTTTGGAATTAAATTCAGTCTTGTTTTTCCATCCCTAGGAGTCAGGGACACATCTGTTTTATGGTAACTCTAGCATTTGGACTTCAGAGAACTAAGCTAAGCAGTAGGGCTGTGCGAAGCTTCGGTTGCTGATTCGATTCGTCGACCAAATCTCTGAATCCAAACTGAATCAGGAGACCCTTTAATCTCTCCGCATCAAATCGGAACCCTCCGAATCGATTCGGAGATCTGATGATTCAGACACAGCTTTAAATGTTTTTTTCTACATACCTCAAGGTACCAGGTGGCTCATGAATGCTGAAATGGTGGGGCAGATGGAGTGTTCCACAGAAGCACGGGGGGTCCCCAAAGCGCTTGGCAGGGGGCCCTCCTTTCCAACTCAGTGACTCGTGCCTCCTGGGTCTGGGGGAGGCACCTAGGGTTCCTCCACAGCCAATCGCCGAGCCGGGGTCCCCTGCACACTTGGAAGTGGACCGAAAGTACTTCCGGGCCCGCCACTTAGCACACAGGGGGCCCCCCCTGCGCTCCTGTGGGACGTGCCATCTGCCACACCATCACAGTGTTCATGAGACGTGCCTGGTACCTCAAGGTATGTAGAAAAAACATTTACAGCTGTGTCTATGGCCAAATTGCTGATTACCCAAATCAGCATTGAATCTTCAGATTCGGATTCAGCCAAATCTAATCGGGACAGTGATCCGAATCAACGAATCGAATCACTGTCCCCCAATTTGGGCTGAATCCGAATTGATTACAGCCCGCTTTGCACACCCCTACTAGGCAGCTTGCCTGGACTCTCATATTATGCTCATTACATAGGGAAAATTGGGAACAATATATCCTGATCTGATCATACGGGATAAGGATAGGTAGGTTTCCTTTACATTTAAAAATAATGCAGGGGAGCAAAGCATTTATTTGATGGACAGAAGGGAAAGGTAAGTGGTGCCCAAGGTCTCCTCAAGCACCAAAGTACTGGAGGTGTAAAAGGTCATCAGTTGTCATGCTTCATCTTCCTTGCTAACTGGTGATTTCAGGTAAGCTGAAGGTCATGGGGCATCAACCTGTTTCATGATGCCACTCAAATTTAAGTATCTTGACTGTAAAGGTATAAATAGTAAGTCAGGAAGGGGAGCAGAATAGAGCAAAGCTGGAAAGGTAAAAGCACCACAGAAAAAGCTCTCGCTCTGGACTATGTAACCAAGGCAAGGTAGTGGATTGTCATCAAGTAAATGGAAAAACGTGCTAAGTGTAGCAAATATCCTAGCGCAAGAACAAGTGGCAGCAGAGGGGGATCGTGCACTACCTTCTTTGCAGCAATCTCTTGCAGTCAAGGATCATTGTCTTACCTGTGGGTCAGAAGATGGCTGCTGAGGCTGATCTGGAATCAACACACTATTGCAACTCGAGCACATGTTTTTGTGCAAGGTTGGTGGCTCTGGATTCTTGATTTGGTCCACAAAACACTGTTTCTGTCACTCCCACATTTCCATCTTCTGTTGTTGTCATAAGGCTTCAAAGTAGCAGGATCTTTGCAGCAGACTCTTCCTCCATTTTGGGCAATCCCAGGCAACAGGCTTTCACAAACTGATGTCAATGTTGCATTTTTTTTTTCAAGATGGTCTTGAGAACATTCTTATAAGTGCTTTCTCTGCCCTGCTCCTCAGCATGGGTCTTGACTGAGCTGGGAGAATAAAACTTGCTTTAGGAGTCTGAAGTTGGACATCTGGATGATGGGGCCAGCCCTGTGAAGTTGATGTCAAATGATCATCACCTCAAAGCTTGTGGTGTTTGCTTGTGAGACGATGCTAATGTTGGTGTTTCTATCTTCACACTGGATTCAAAGCATCTTCCACAGGCAGCATTGATGGTACATCTCCAATTGTCTTGGTTTAAGGTTGCGTTCTGTCAAGAACTATGTGGAAGCTGATGTGCAGCAGCTTCTCTATGATAAAAGAAATCATGCACCAGCATCCTCCATGAAAACCACTTTTCTCACATTAGCACTGAGTACTGGGAAAGAAAGGACTGTTCTTCTCCTTCCTAAAGCACATATATCCTGACCTAACAATTGCTGCTTTTCCACAAAGTGCCTATTCTGAGGGGTCCAGCATTATTATTATGGCAGAATTATGAAGGCAGCAGCTCCCAATTACCAGCTCTCTAGAATTATTACTAGATCAGTCTGGTGAAGACTACAAGTGGAAATGATAGGAAAATCTAATAATAAGATGAATTTTGCCCTTTCTATACTTCTGTTTCCCCACTAGAATCCACACAGTTGTGAAGCTGTAACAGAGGACAGAATTTGGTGCTGTGGTATTACAGTGGGCAGGGATCATCCTCTTGTTATGGCAAACAGTGAGATTAAGCAGTCAGCCAAGATCTCTAATGGGTCCCTGAGGTACTACCACAACACAAATAGAATAATGATAATTAAGTAAGCCACTGTATTTTGAAAGGAAAGAGAGAAAATAATTGCATAAGGAAAACGTAAGTTTTTGTGTAAACCTATTATCACTGTTTATATTGTTCTTAATTTATCATAGTTAATTTTTTATTGTATGGTTTTAATATTTTTTCAGGTCTCCTTATTTTTATTGGAAAAACAAGGCTCTGAGGTAAAGACAAAATGCCTAAAATGCCTGCCTGCATGCCAAAACTCACCAAGGTGGTGACATATCACAAATTGTGGGCTGTGTTCATTATCACCTTTCAGTTCCTGTGTTTTGTCTACATAATGTTCTACTGGAGAATCACTGAGGATACCAACAAGAGTCAGCTGTATGACTTAATTCTGGAAGTGAACTGCCATCACTTTGTACCTTCTCCTCCATCTGTTTCTGTCAGTCCATCTCCAACACCAGGGAATATATTCTTCGTGGAGACCTCAGAACGTATCAACCCACATTTTCTTTTTGTGTGCTCTGTTGAATCAGCAGCCAGGGCTCACCCTGACACCAAAGTTATCATCCTTATGAAGGGCTTAGCAGATAAAAAATTTTCCCAACCAAAACACTGGGGGTTATCCCTACTGAGCTGCTTCCCCAATGTGGAAATTCGGCCATTGGACTTAGATGATCTGTTTTCAGGTACACCTCTGGCTGACTGGTACTCACAGGCCCAACACAGGTGGGAACCTTATTTCTTAGCCGTCCTTTCTGATCTCTGTAGAATTGCAATTATGTGGAAATTTGGCGGTATCTACTTAGACAAAGACTTAATAGTCCTTAAAAACTTAGGGAACCTCACTAATGTATTTGGCATCCAGTCCAAATATATACTGAATGGAGCCTTCCTTTCCTTTGAACCCAACCACAAGTTCACAGAGCTCTGCATGAAGGACTATGTGGACCATTACAATAGCTGGATATGGGGCCACCAGGGACCACAGCTTCTTTCCCGTGTTTTCAAGAAGTGGTGTTCCATCAGGAGTCTCCAGAGCAGTAAAGGCTGCAAAGGTGTCAGCACCCTTCCTCAAGAAGCCTTTTATCCTATTCACTGGCAGGACTGGAAGAAGTACTTTGAAGAAGTCAGTTCTTCAGAGTTTCAGAAACTCTTCCAAAACAGCTATGCAGCACATATTTGGAATAAAAAGAGTCAGGGGACCAGGTTTGAGGTCACCTCCAAAGCTCTGCTGGCTCAGCTGCACTCACGCTATTGCCCTTCTACATATTGGATGATGAAGACTTATTTGTGAAAGACATTCACCTGATGGTCACATGACCACCCAAGAGCAGCAGCTAGAAACATTTGTCCTTCCTAGCAAAAATGTGTTTTTGAAAGCACTAGTGCCTCAATGAAATCTGTCACTAAGTTGTGTGGTACAAAGAAGGTTAAAGATGCATACAGGACAGGCTGAATGTAGGTTGAACACTGGGGAAGCTCTGAGCAGCACTGAGCTTGTTTTCCTTACTTGACTCTTTGAAGTTGTAACAGAATCATGCGCCCAGGGGTCACCATGTTGTCTACCGGTGGCCAAGTGGCTCCTACCTACTCAGGCTCCCTGGATACTCTTCTTTCTTTTACCTGCCAAACCTTGATGTCATCAACTCTCATATGAAAAGGAAGGTGGTCCCAGGTTATGCTCTTGCCCTTCTTTCAGATGGCTCACCCCTCTTGGACCCTGCAGTTTCCAAGCACACCTCTCAAGAGCTAAGCAAGCCTTCCAGGCCCATCCAGACCTTAAGGTCTCTGTTGCCTCAAAGGCTAAATTTGTGAGCTCCTTCCACCCCTTTAGCCATGCCCATGCCTTGCAGCTGCTACCCATTATCACCTCATTAGGCCACTTCAAGGCCAATGTATCCTTGTTGGGGTGTCTGCTTTCCAGCTCCAACCGCTCTCATCTATATGGGTGCCTCCCAGCTTAGGTCACTATGTTGAACCCCCAGACCTGATCTTGCCCCCTCAGGTCCTTGGCCCCTGGCCCTTGTTGTAGCCCAAGAAAGGCAGAGACAGCTCGCACCCTGCCCCCCAGTAGGTCCAAGCTTGGTGCTTCCCTGGCACCCCAGGAGCTCTGGTCCTGTCAGCACCTTGAGCCTGACCCTTGGCAGTGCTCAAAGCAGTCATGCACACCTCGGGTACCAATGGGACCTCCATCTCTCCCCTTTCTAGTCCCATCCAGTATACTGGTCTGAATCAAAATATAAGCCTCTTGGCTGCAACAAAACCCTGTGCTCACTGGCCATACCGAACTCTATTCTGCATCCTGGCTCCCCACATGGATTCCTTGCCTGTAGCCCCCCATGGCAGCAATATTCCAGGCCTTTAGGCTGCCATGGCCTTCTGGCTGCAGAGCTCTTCACCTTTCAGCCTCCTGGGGCAGACTCCCCTCTTGGCTCAAGACTTTTATGCCTCCCAAGCTCCACCCCCTTCCAGTCAGTGCCATAATAGCTTTTCTGAATGCAGGGCTATTTATTAACTCCTGCCTTGCTAGCTGCCTTTGTCTGGTTCACCAAAATTCTTCCCTTAAAGAGCCCATTCCATTCCCCCATAACAGGGTAAGAATTCCCTGTTACAAAGGTCCTGAATTCTGTTCTAAGGTCCCTTTCCACTGCTCTGGTTGCATAAAGGGACTCAGTAGCATAACAAAGGGGGCCAACTGGGGCACTTGTCCTAGTCCTAGGCACCAACCATAGTGGGGGGGGGGGGGGGGGGGAAAACAAAAAGCGGGGGGCGTGTGGACTGGCTGCCGCCACACTGTCCACAACACAGTCAGTGACACTGCCCCACTCATGCATAACTGCATCCAGGGTGCCAAGACATCACATTATGCTTCTATAGGGGCCTCAAGCTAGGAATAAACATTGTATCACTCCAACAGTGTAGAGAATCCATAGAATAAGAGTAAGGTCTCATTTTACCATCTAAATCATGCTAGAAGTGTGCTACATGGCAGATCCTTTAATTTTGCTATTTTCACTATGTGCCACCTCCTTCCTGCGCTCCACCACTGACTGGCCAAGGGACCTGGGTGGCCCAACCACTTGCCACTTGCTCCTGATCCGCTGCAGCTTTTGCTTCCCAGGGGATCAGGAGCAAGCGCTGTAGCCACCGCGGCAACCAGGGTCCCTCTGCAAATCAGTGGGGGTGGGTGGTGCGCAGTGAGAAGAGCAAGATTAAAGGAGCCGCTGCTAAGTGTACGATTTAGGCTAATCCCTAATCATAATGGTTTAAAGGGCCGTTAGTATAAAAATGACTTTGGCCTCAGGGTTCCTGCTTAATTTTCGTGAATTCTCAAAAACAAGTGAGGCCTAAAGCAGGGAGAAGAGAACAGGGAAAATGAATTGAAGACAGATCAAAGGAGGGTCAAAGAGCTGGTAAGAGAAGGGAAACACAGAAAAGAGAGAAGAGGAAAGGGCAATTTTCTTTAATTATCTTGATAGCCACCTAGAAATATGTGTGCTGCACAGCAGCTTCTTTAATCTTGGTATTTTCGCTACAAGCACCCTCCTTCCTCTCTCCCCACCACTGATTGGTCAAGGAACCCTGGTGGGCAATTATTTGATAGCTATCTACAAAGACGTCAAGGGAGAACACCAGGATCTAGGAGAAGAACCTTTCAGAAAAGCCCCCTCCAGGAAGATGCGGACCAATGGACACAAGCTACTCGAGGAAAAGTTTCAGCTGGACATAAGGAAAAACTCCTTTTCCATACGGGTAATTAGAATCTGGAAGACACTTCTGGCAGAGATGGTACAGGTGGTAAGAGGAGGCTGGACAAATACCTCATTTGAGCCCAATTATCTCCTGCCCATGGCAGGGGACTGGACTTGATGATCTTACAGGTCTCTTCTAGTCCTTCTTTTGATGATTCTCTCTCCTCCTAGAAACCAGGTGATAAATTAACTTTCACATGTTCCAGGTTTTTTTTTGGGGGGGGGGGGGTGTTTTGTTTTGTTTTTTTACCAACAGTAAAAACTGTTCAATGTAAACAGGGAACTAAAGGGTGTCCTTTCTCATCAAATGCTGATGTCAGCTCTTACTAAATGCTGCTGGCTACCTTGGGCAAATGCCGTTGATTATAGAGTGACTTCTGGATAAGTAAGGATTTCAGGATTTGGCCAAAGTTGTTTCAGTTAAGCTAAGTTCAGTTAAGTTGTTTCAGTTTATATTAAAAGATGGCTGGAATTAATGTTCTATGAAGACACAGGCCATAGAATTTTCCAAGTGAAGTCTTATCTCTCCTGTAATGTGAAAGCAGAGAAATGCCAGTTTGTCTGACTGGAGTTGTCCATGAGTATGTGCGAGTGAACATATACATACAGACATTCTATTCAGTGCCTAGTGTGTGTCCTTCTCCCCTCCATCACTGTAGATGCCGACTACTTGTTCTCACAGTAGTCCTATGAAGCAAGGAATATAAAGATAGGGAACCAAGGCCTACAGGTATTAAAGGTCAGATGCAAAATGATCACCTAGGAGCCTCCACTTAGGCCTTCAGTGCTTCAAAGATAGGTGCCTCACCTTTGAAAGAGGAGCCAGATAGACAAGGTTAGACACCTAGAAGAGAGTCAAATGCTTCTAAATAGTGAAGAAGAAGGTAAAGAGTAAGAACAGCACTTAGGCTTAGGAGGACCTCCCCCCTCACAATTACTGGTTCTCTGTTTAAAAATTACAAAGTCTCTGATTTTAAAAAAAGAAATCACAAGTTTTCTGATTTAAAAACCCAAAATCCGTGATTAAATAGTAGTATCAGCTGAACACAATGTTTTATTGATATATTTACAGTTTTAAAGCAATTTGGAAGCCTATCAGTGTCTCAATCACTATAACAGAATTAATTCTAAATGTCTATAAATGTTGGCATCTGATTTTGGATTTTTTATCATGGAAAAGCAGAGCTCTTCCTACCCCCCTCACCCACCAGGATGAGGGTATAGTTGTGGCTGTCCCCCCTCCCACTGCTTTGTGGTGCTGATCAGCCCTGATATGCTGTTTCCCCTCATTCCCAAGCCACAGGCCCCCCAGCCCTGCCAGTGCCTCTCATTCCCTGCCTATCCCCTATCTACTCCCTCCTGGAAGCATCTCCCTCCATCCACCAGGACATGAGTTCAACTGCAGCTGTCCCCTCTGCTGCTTTGTGGCATTGAGTAGCCCTGACATGCTGGTGCTCTTCCCCTGCCCATGTGAAACCTCTGTGGAGGCACGGAACTGGCCAGCCCAGCCTGATGGCGCATGAACAGGCAGCCATGAACCATTGGGCCAGGCAAGCTCCGTGCCTCCAAGTAAGGCTTCCAGCAAGCACTCCAGCAGGAAGCCGCATGTGGAAGCGGGAGTCCATGCAACCCAATGGTGCGCAATACCGTGCCTCCATGTATGGCTTCCTACCTGGTCTGATGGCACATGGCTCCCAGTCCACACGCTGTTTGGCCGGGTCGGCCCTCCATGTGGGGCTCCCAGCCCTCCAGTGGGAAGCTCTAAATGGAGGCACGGAGCCAACGCACCATCCGGCCAGGTGAGCTCCTGCTTGCCTTTGCACGTGGTTTCCACTGGAGTGCTGGAAGCCCAACATGGAGGCACAGAGCTGCCCAGCCCGGCCCAATGGCACATGGATGACAGCAGCAGCTCAGCACCCGCCTTGGCCTTGGGTACACTGCAGCATCCCCTGAGCTGCAGCACTGTGCCGTGGCCACTGCCTCCGCCTCATGGCAGCAGGTGGCAGGGCAGGTGCCTCTCAACACTGCTAGGTACCTGCCCACCTATTCCCACCTGATGGGGTGCAGGGATGCTGGCTGGGTTCTTCCATGCTGGCTTGAGAGCGCTTGCAGACAGCTCCCTGTTCCCTCAGCCCCAACCCATACACCTGCACCTTGCCTCCCATGCTGGCTCTTCCCACAGCCCCCGACCCCCCTGCCAGCCCTGGTAGTCACCTACACCTGCATCCAACCCACAGGGCGCCCCTAGGCCTGCTGCCCCCAACCCGCATCCCCCACCCCTCCAGGAGGAAAAGTGAGCCTGATTCAAGCCCTGGCTCACTTGAGAGTCTCAGACCCTGCCCCTTCCCCCTCTCCCACCCTCTCGGGGCAGGGCTTAGAGTTTGCCATCCTTTTTCCAAGAAGCTCTTTCAGGCTGGAACTCTACCATCCTGCAGATAGCTCTTTGCTGTGTGCATTTATCAGTCAAATACGACTCATTCAAGTTAATTGCCAGTCATTCCAGGGACAAGTCTATCAGGCTGTGTGCTGTCCTTGGCTACCT